GTAAGACTATTGCCGCCGTGAACCTTGTCCGGACACGGAAACTAACTCCCTCCTTCTCCATCCTAGTCTGCCTACAGAAGTGAACATTTGTCGGAGTCTGCGTCTGATACAGGGCTCTTATATGAGACCGAAAGCCCAGGCTAGTCTGTATACTGTGTTAATCCGCTTCACAGCGAGAACCTGGGGCCTGAATATTCGCCTCTCTCCGTGAGTTTCGCTACATTCGTTGACTGTTCGTCCTGCATCATAAACAGCCCTAGAGTAAAGTCATAACGCGGCTATGTTCTGTAATTCAAATGTACAGCGTTTTTAGAAAGACATTGAAGGTTTTAACTCGACTGATTGTGAACTAATGGAGTCACTTAAAAACTACTTGATGAATGCTAAAGGAAAACCACAAAAACAACAAAAAGTAAAGTGAACCTACTTGTAACTGTGACTTTGTGTTCACCATGGGACGGATGTCGGAAGAGATCAACTTGGATCGACAGTTCTCCAACGCCATCCTCTACGGCCGGTTTGTCTAGAATGGAAGTGGAAGAGGTTTAAGAGAGAATTTTAAATAACAATTAATCGCCTTTAGAGAAGTGACCTGCATAACATTCTTTCGGCATTTGCAATATAAAGATCCTTAGGAGCTGTAGTTGAAATTAAAAACATATGCAGTTGCAAGAAGAGCGTAAGACACTGTTTGCATTCTACCGAAAACGATCGACGTTTAATTAAAAATGCTTGTAGGGTTTGTTTTCTTGTTCGAATAAGGCTAATGGGTTGTCAAATTTGTAAGGAAAAAACAGAGGAGGAGAACTTTCCGCCTACTGAATAAAGTCGTAAACCTCCAGGGTATGCACGTTTCTTAACGGAATATGATATCAACAAATGCAAACACCTAAGTATGCTTGCATTCAGAACATCAGCGTCGTAAGTAGTTCACGAATGCAGAATTATTGAAGAAGCCACTCTTCATATAAATATCCAAGGCGTAAACAATTTCAATAATTCCAACACGCTAGTCTTTCAGACTTCAGGTCGACCATCGAGCGCAAAAGGTTGGCGTCGCATCCACTGATGTTTTCGGACTAAAGAATGACGTCCAATCAACGTGCATGTGGTGGGCGAACAGTTTTGAGGTTATTTATAGTTTCCATTTTTTATTACAGTGGATAAACATGGTGTTATTTCGTTGTCTTTATTTGGGAAAAAAGACCAGCATAAAAATGTCTCCAGTATTTTCATTGCTTGATAGTAAAACAGCATGCTGACAAAAGCATGTAGGTGAGTTCCAGAAAGCAGTTCAGAAGAAAATGCAACTCCTCGAATGAGACGTTTATTAGCTTGGCATTTCGGATTCTTGCTCGAACCCCTCATCAGAGACAATCACAGAAAATGGTGGTAGAGACCCAAATTGAGCTGTATTTATAGCCAATACAGGTCGCAGGACCACTTTTGTCTTACAGATAGGTAGGGATCGTGATTTATGGGATAAAAACTTGGCAGTCCATGTCCGTGTCGGTAATTGCAATGCTTTCATCATCCGTGCTGGATGTTGACGGGATGATTATGTGGCAATTTGGCTCACTGTTCTCGAATTTTTTGGTGTCCGACGCCCTCGCCATGAGACTGACTCCTCTGATCGGGCAAAGTTTCAGTACAGAATATAGGAACGGAAAATTACCGCGCTTGCTGATGGTTTACGAACCTGAGGAGCATGCTTCCAACTGCTTACGGCTCACACGGTTGCCACTTCTCGGTAGGATTTGGGCCTTGTTAAATTTGCAATTGTGGTCGAGTCTCGTCGAGAAAGAGAGCATGTAAGTGGTCGGCCGATAGCTGTGGTCTTATAAACGATAACCACCGGTTTTTAGGTTTAATTTAAAAACCGTAACTCCATATAAAATTACTGAATGGAGCATATGTCCATTAAGAGGATGCAACAAAGTATTGAGACAAACAAGTTACCAAAAAAAGAACTCAGGAAAGGCGACCAACAGTCTCATGCCGAAAGATTTTGTCGAATAGACAACACACTTAGCCTTCTAACGAATAGATACCGACCAGAAACATACAGCTGAGGATGGTACCGTCAGCACGTTTTATTAAAGTTTTCAGTTTTATGCCCATTTAAATAGTCTGAGTATCCGACTGAAATTCTTAGACGAGGAGTGAAGGCATTGACTGACATGATTGTATCTAACTCTTCTCTAGAAATCACTATATTAAGAGTATTAGGCGGTGTCTCAAGAAACGCTTACGCTTAAAAATCTATAAAATACACTAAGTATTAAAAAATGCATGCACTTAACAGATAATTACAGTCAAAATCAATCCAAAGTTTGACAAGAAATAATAAGAACCTGAAAATGATATATTTGCTGTAATAATTTGATAAGCACACAGGTTGTTCCTAAATTCAATTTGCTTAGAGTATTTTTTTTGTAAAAGTTTAGGGACTTCGGCCTAATGTAGTAATTTAGGAAACGCACGAGAATATTTACCCCACATATAAATAGTAGATACGCTAGAGTAACCAGGGCTAGACGTTGGGACATGAAAATTGGAAACGCCTTAAGTGAAAATCTCACTGCAGGACAAGAGGTTCATATTCCCATGTCCAACCGCAGTCTCAATTCGTATAAGGGAAAAGTTCGGAAATTCCTGATTTCGGGAGCAGAAGTAGTGTATCACATCAATATCGAAAATGACTGTCTCTTCTGTCAATAACTCTCCCTTTCTCGCACGCTTCTAATACTCAAATGCTTTTCTCGTGTTTTTTTTAGCGTGGGAAAACTCAGTCCTCCAGTTGAAAAAGGCCAATTGCAAACCTCTTATAATTTAGCCTTCCAAGATAATACGGCCAGGTTCGAGTTTTTTTCAACTATCTTCCAGGGGAGAACATTCGAGTTTAATCAATAGATGGGAAACGCGTGAGAGTCATTTATTTCCTTTCACTTAATCAGTGGAGAGGTTTTTCAGATCTAAATACTCTCCCTCAGTACGTTGGGACGGCGTTCCATTGACATCCGTTCTATGTTCCCGTATGTAAATTAGCATATGAAAATGACTTTCGGGCGGACAACATAGTAAATGCAAGTAGCCATCACGCAACGTAGACGCTTGTCCCGCGAGTGCGCCGTCCTATAGCCAAATTAGATAAACTTTTGCTTTAATGGGTAATCCGGTAGGCAATCTCCTTTGGCTGCAATGTCGGTGGCCAATAACAACAACCTCTTTCAAGCGGAAAGGAACCGACAGTTAGGCCAAACGAATGCAGTAGAAGTATAGATGAGCGAAGACCACATCTGAGGACCACGATAGAATCTCTGAAGGTAGAGGTCAAACCCCTCTCGTTTTGCACAAAACTTACCGTACGTTGGCTATGCGCGGTACTCAGACAAGAGAGGAACAAAGAATTCGGACACGAAAAACAATGCCTTATTCGTTTTTTGAACTGAAATCTTTAGAAAGTAAAAGCCAATCACACCAACCTTGAGTAGTCTGTGTGGAGACAAAGATTTTTATAAGGCTGTCGGTAGTCTGGGTATATAGTGAGAGCGCGTACTGCAACGACTGCAGTTCAGGCGACCTCTCCAAGTAGGTATTCTTCAGTCCACTGCCACCGGCGTGGAAATAGTTTTTTATGGCCTCCAAGGCGATATTGAGTATCTGGCAATGCCACGGTGTGAGGTTCTTTAGAGTAGCAGCACCGGTTTCTTTGGAGATTTCCTGTTTGGCATCGGTAAAAAATATCGCATTTAATTAGATTTGGAGTATCCGTGCTAACATATCAGAGGCCCGACACACATTTTGAAGCGTACTGTGCATACTTCCGATTTACATATAATAAAGAAGAGCATATTATTTCCAACAAAAGCACAACATTTTCTTTGAAAAGCAAATCAGTGAAGCTTCGAGGCATGGTTCGAAAGCGTTCAATCATTGCATCACACACTGCTTCCCAGGCACATTGATAGGGGCAAACCAGATGCCTTAGCATGAAGTCGATACAATAAACCGCTCATTGTCTAGGGAGGGAGATTAAAACAGCATATGGAAACGTTTAACGTCTTAACAACTATTCACAGTACTTCTACTGCTCGGCGTTTGCTTTACTTGACTGCCGAAATCTGGTAATAAGCTCTCAGACTCGTGAACACAGGAACCTGTTTGCGTTCAGCGTAAAATTGGAGTCATCAAGCATCGCATTTCAAAAATAATGGATAAACATTGACTGGAGCAGGCAATAGTTTCTGGGCGAGATATTTAAAAAATACACGAATGGACTAGCAGCTGCCAAGTGTGTATCAATACAAGGATAATTACAATACAGAGGAGAATTACTAGACTCGGAGCTTTGTACTTCGCTACCAGTAGGCCTTTGCATTTTCTGGCTGCAGTAAAATGGGAGCTTTGCTGACTGAATTCAAACGTGATTCAAACAAGGGTTGAGCGCCGATCCTCGAAAAGTCTTCCCCGACCGTCCGGAGCATACTCTTTCACACTGAATAAATAAGCCGCATTGTTAACCTATTTCGATGCGGTTACCATCGTGCTTTTGGGGTCAGTCAAGTGACGGCACGACAGTTAAACTCACTTACTTTCTTCCTCATTTAGTCACTAAGGCATTTGCTTATGACGAGAGATCCCAAATCTACCTTGCCGACAGATCAGTGCTTGTGTACCTAGGACAGCAAGACTGTTGCGGGCGTACACGTGTGTTTTACCACTGAAATCGATGCGCATTCTACTACCATCGTCTTTTCAGTGTCTTGAAATGAGTACATGGTGCGTGGTTGAGACAGACTGATGATGACTGATGCTACATGAAAATTTCTTTTTCTCTCTTCCCGCTCTCACCATAGCTAGTATCTGTGCTGCCAGTATGGTAAATAACAGCGTAAAGTTATACTTTTATCTCCTGCTATTAATACTGTGTATATTATGCGGTTAACCCGTAGTGGCGGATAGACTTCGGCTCAAATATAAATGTATCAAATTTTGGTCTACGCCCACAGATGTTGGATACCTTGATCCATAACGAGGTCAAACAGTAATTCTTGAGAAAATTATAAAAACTGGAAACCACTCAGATAAATGGTTGTCCTCGTGGGCCCCGATATTTGGAATGACATGGGCTGCATTTAAAGCATTGCAATGTAAAGAGTATAAAGAGAGGACAGTGCGAGGAAGTGTCTCCTGATCATACTGCTTTTTAAACTCTTGTAGTGGAAAACCGGAACGGTACTCAGAAGTGGACGCCAAAATCGGCCTGGGCATTAACTCTAAATGGTATGTTAGCCTATTGAAAACTAAGAACTTCTAAACACGTTTTGCTCCCGTACGTACACAGGATGACACAAGGTCAACAAAGAATGACACAAGAATGTCAACAAATTTTCGATTTCTGAATTCACAATATTAGAAACAAATGGTTGTGAGAAATGAAGGAGTGAAGGAGATTTTAGCAGCTATATAGGATCTAGAACGTTCACAGATGAAGTATATGCATCACTCAGGAATGTTTTAGGTTAAACCCACAACTTTACCCCTTCTTAATACTACGACTGGACTTTAAGTATGAGTAGCCGCTTGAATAACTTCAATACACAAAACCCAAAAAAGTTGTCACAATTTTATTTTTCGAACGGTACATAGTACCGATTAGCAATGACGCAAATTAGGAAGTAATTTAATGTTTCAATAAGTTGTGTCAATAACATCCACTCTTGGTTGGCTTTTTAATGATCCGATATTATTTGAGAAGAGTCTGCTTGATTGGCAGCCGGAAAAGGAAACAACTGAGTTGTCGGAGGACAAAGCCATCTAAACTTTGTTCCAAATGCCAACCTACTTTACACATCGGTTAAAATTTTGTATTCTGTAGGGTCTTGGAGATAGATTTATAAATTATGTATGACCCCAGCCTACGCAGCCTTGGTCACCTTCATAAAACTGTGGTCAGGTGGGGGTGAGTTCATAGTCCCATGATTTGCAAAAAACAGCCTAGAGGTCTCATAGGGTAGAGGGGAATGTTAATTCCCAGCCTGCATCCCATCGTCAATCAGATAAGTCTAATTTCAGGCTGCTAAGACGCGGGAATTGAACTCGAGCATCTTCGTCACTGTGACTTAGATTCTGGTTTGCAAATGCCTCCTACTAAGCTGACATACGAATGACGCTACCTCGGTTAACCTCATGGCAGGAGATAAGCCGAGTTATACCACACCAGAGGCATCAGAAAAGGATGAAGTATTATGCACATCACGGCTAAGTATGAACTAAAGTCATAACCAAAGGTCAAGTTTCTCAAGTTGAGAGAAGATTAAATGGCTGTAACAATGGTCATCTCAACTCTCAAATAAACATTTAAAGTAAAAAGCTTTCACTTGACTAACCTGAAACAACTTGCTCGCGGGTAGCTGACTGCTGACGTTACTAAGCAGAGTGTGCGATACACTGGATAATTTAGCTTGTGCGTTTGATGGAATGGACAGACTGAGGAACATTGCGCTGGGATCTGAAACGCTCGGGAGTATCACTTGTTTCTCGAAAGTGTGCAGTGTAGTTTTCCATAGCTCCTGTATTTTGTCAAAAAATGTTGATTAAGAATGGAAAAATAAAAACCAGGACAAAAAATTGAGTTTATGCCTCACTTTTTTCAGCGATTCTTCAACATAATTTTCAAGATCTAAGTTCCAATTGACCAAATTTTAATGTTAATCGCCAATTTATATTGGCCTACAAAAGCCATGAACTTCCAGTTCATTGGAATAATCTGTGGCCCGCCCTGACCATGTCTTTAGTTACCACTTTATCTGTAATTCACTAGTTGTGCAAAGTTATTCGAGTCTGCATGCTTTTTCAATGTGCTCAGATACTTAACACTTTCACGCAAATATGTTTTCACCGAAGATGCTGTGACTAAAACCTTGCTGCACACTAAACTTCTCTTTTTAAGGTAATCAAAAGGTTATATTTGACTGTTTTGTCTTCTGGTGGAAAGTAGTGCCTTTCTCTCAAACAGTGACAAAGATTGTAATCCAACCACTCATATGACAGCTAAAATAAGTAGATTTGGAATGCATATGACTGCGTTTCATAACATTGTATCTAAGCAAATGCTCTTTTGTCGTTGAATCTGGGACCTGAAATGTGCATCCTTTAAAATTACTCATCTGCCGAGCAAAGTCCATTAAAAAACTATACCGTGTATAGAGGTAGTATTATGGTAGGCACGTTTGCTTTTCAGTTTAAATATCATATTTTAGAAACACAAGGTTAAACTTACAAAGTTAAATTCATAACATTCTTAAACGCCTAACTGCCTCTGACGAAAGGAGCAAAACAAAAGAGGGTTGATTAAATTATTGCAGGTTATTGGTAGGATTAACTCCGCCTTTAGATGTGAGTCCATCGTCTACAAGTCTTCGACTGTTGTATTTACCATTTAAACTTCAAAACTTCCTTAGAACGAAAAGGTGAAATGTAGGCGACATGAACCAAACCGCATGACGTGTGCCAAATTAAATGTACAGTGGAACCTCGGCTACCGAATTTAATCCATTCCGGCGTCTACCTCGTTGTGTGAAACACACGTATTGCCAAACGTAGCCAGGAAACTGCACCACTTCACTGGTTGGCTGCAAGTTGCCAAGGATCCCCGCCCTGGGGGCAAGACTCAGGGGCGGACACAGGCACATACACGCACTGACAACTCGTTAACTAAGCTGAAGCTCGTCAGGCAAAACAAATTTTATACGTGTAGCTTTTTCGTTACCTGAAAGGCTCGTAGATGAGGCTGGTCGTAATCCATTCCCCACTGTAATGAAATTTCTGTCGGGGCTAATTTTGCACAGCATGCCACTGCTACTACTTTAAATTTCGTGATCAAGCCAAAAGTTCTTTATTTATTTATAGGACAAAATTAAATTCCCGCTCTAAGTTGATAATTTATAGTCGCTGTAATGCATGTCTATTTTATTTCATTGCGGCGTTTGGTAAGGCAATCATGGACGCAGTGCTCAATTTCCCTAATTTCTCTAATCTATGCAAGCATCCCCCTATTCGACGGTCAACTCTGATGAAGGGTTTTCGACAGAACGTGAAACGTCAGGCAAATAAACGTCTTGTTCTAACAATCGAACCTTCTACTTCTACTTCCGATAGGCTCGACGGTGGGAAACATTTGCCCTTTGGGAGACGTCTACGTATGCGCATTTGTCCACATATTCTGACTTCTTCTTCGTATTTGAACAGTTACAGGTAGAGCTCTTAATGCTCCAATAAATGTAGGCAAAATTCGCACATTTGCACCAACAATAAAGTTGGCTCACGATAAAACATTAGTAAGAAGTGTTGAATCATGAACTGAGCACAGTGTAAGTCTGCCATTTTATTTTGAATGTAACTGTGCCCCCTACATTAGAGTTTTAAAGCAAAAATTCCGGTCGATTGTCTATTTACTCATAAAAAATCTATAGCTATAATACTAGATAATAGATAAAAAATTTTTTGCTAAATACGCATCCGTTTTTCTATCACAGTTGCGTAACTGTTTTCCTGTTTTGACAGGGAATAGGGTAGTTTAAGATGCTCAGAATGGTGCATATGTTTGCCATTTGGAAATAACACTTAACACTGGATGTCATCTGGAACTTTTGACCAATTGGTCTCTGGAAAACGAAATACTCTAGTTGATCAAAAGGGCTTCGAAGTGCTGAACCCACAAGCAGACTTTGTCCAATTAATACCTCGGTAACACACAACGCACTAACAAGATTTGTGGAGGAGAGCATGATTTTCAGCCTGCTGCCGGAAGCGAAGAAACGAGTTCCGGAAAACAGTTAAAAAATAAAATGCAATTTTTGGGTCAGTCTATGCACTTAAAGTTTCGGACTCTCAATTTGATTCATCATCAGAGGCAGTCACAAACAATTGTAAACAAAGCACAAGGGGTAAGGTGCTTTAAGAACGCGGTTTTCATGCAAACATCACGTCTATTTCTATAATTTGCAGCCTATTTTTAGTAAGGTATCACAACTTCAAAATGAAGGACAACTTTTTAAAAGTTCCACAGTGATGTGGTTCCTCATCTTAACGTATGCAGCTGTGATACACGGGAAATCGAGGCCGAGCACATATTAGTATAACATTAAAAAGACTACCTTCAATATGCGTTTGAGCACCGTTTTCTCACAGATGTCTGCGTAGACAGAAAGCGAACTCTCAAAGTGATCCATAAGCGGTCGGAGGATGTTGTCAGCCTCGGCTTCAACACTCGCATTCGCGCCAGTAGCACACTAGACAGGAAGCGAAGGAGAAAAACGATCTCATCTTTGCGATGAACTCAATCAATACACTAGATATAACACATTTGGGATAATGGAGACGGGCTGGTTTACTTATTTACTTTGTGTAATCGTTATTTATACCCTTTGTAAGCCTCATTGAATCGCATGAAATAAAAAGTAAACACGGAAGACGGACAATTTGAACACGTGTTTGACTCCAGCGCGCTAGACGTTTTTCATCAACCCACCCACAATTTTTGTCATATCCACCTCTGCTATCCTAACATGGCCGACTTCGACGGGGTAGTTGGTTGCCTATTCGTGAGCTTCACGACTCATACGGAATGTGCCTGCTTTGGGAAGCTAGTGGAT